AAAATCTCGAAAATGTCAAAAAAATATGGAAAATACGAAAGGTCTCAGCAACATCAATTTGTCAAAAACTTGAGGGGTCTAAAACATAGAACATTCATAACATTTAAATTTGAAACATGTCAAAATTTTCAAGGATGTCAAAAATTCAGCAAATGTCAAAAACATCAAATGTGTGGAAAATATAAAAAATGCCAGATACAAAATGTCAAAAATACAGCTTTAAGTGTGCAAGTAAAATCTCAAAATGTTGAAAATGTTAAAATTTGAAAAATACCAAATGTCTCAGAAATATTAATCTGTCAAAATTTTCAAGGACCTCAGGAATTCCAGGTATGTCAAAAATATCAAATGTGTCAAAAATGTCAAAAATACAGTTTTAAGTGCATGTAAAATGTGAAAACCTCGCACATGAGAAAATTTGGAAAATACAAAATATCAGGAACATTCTCCGTCAAAAACATTTACATTTCAAACGTGTCAATATTTTCAAGGATGTCAAGAATTCTAGGAATGTCAAAAATATCAAATATGTGTGGAAATGTAAAAAATGTCAGACACAAACACGTTAGAAACGTCAAAGACACAGTTTTAAACATGTTAATTAAATGTCAAAATGTCAAAATTTAGAAAATACGAAAGGTGTCACAAAGATCAATCTGTCACAAACGTGAGCAGTTTCAAAGGTGCCAAAAACGTATAGAATGTCAAAAATGTTTAAATTTCAAACATGTCAAAATTTTCAAGGACGTCAAGAATTCCAGGAATGTCAAAAATTTCAAATATGTGGAAATATCAAACATGTGAGATACAAATACGTTAAAAATGTCAAAAATACAGTTTTAAGTGTGTCAGTAAAATGTGAAAACCTCGAATATGTGAAAATTTGGAAAATACAAAATGTGTCAGAAATATTCTATGTCAGAAACGTTTAAATTTCAACTATGTCACAATTTTCAAGGATGTCAAGAATTCCAGGAATGTCCAAAACGTAAAATGTGTGCGGAAATTTAAAAATATCAGACACAAACACGTTAGAGATGTCAAAAATACAGTTTTAAACATGTTAATTAAATGTCAAAATGTCAAAATTTAGAAAATACTAAAGGTGTCACAAACATCAATCTGTCAAAAACGTGAGCACTTTCGAAGATTCTAAAAACGTACAGAATATCAAAAATGTTTCAATTTCAAACATGTCAAAATTTTCAAGGACGTCAAGAATTCCAGGAATGTCAAAAATATCAAATATGTGGCAATATCAAACATGTGAGATACAGACACGTTAAAAATGTTAAAAATACAGTTTTAAGTGTGTAAGTAAATAAAATGTGAAAACCTCGAATATGTGAAAATTTGGAAAATACAAAATGTGTCAGAAATATTCTCTGTCAAAAATGTTTAAATTTCAAACAAGTCAAAATTTTCAAAGACGTCAGAATTCCAGCAATGTCAAAAATATCAGATTATCAAAAATGCGAGATACAAATACGTTAAAAATGTCAAAAATCTATTTTTAATTGTGCAAGTAAAATACGAGAACTTCGAATATGCGAAAATTTGGAAAATATACAGTTGTCGGCAAAAAATTTCAGGCGTCAATGTCATTCAGTCGTCAGATGGTGTAAAGCAACCTTTAGATGTTTCTAACCTAAATATTTGACGGTCATTTTTAACTTTTACATTTGACACTTACATGAATGTAGCGTAAGCTGGAATTTTGAAAGTTTGACATTCCAGCTGTTCGAAATAATGACAATAAAGCATAGATTACATTAAAATTTTTGACATGACAGAAAAGTGATTTTTGAAATTTTTTGTCGGAAATTGTAGAATATGTCAGAAACATTTTTTGTCAAAAACGTATAAATTTCAAACATATCGAAATTTTCAAGGACGTCAAGAATTCCAGGAATGTCAAAAATATCAGATGTGTGGAAATGTAAAAAATGTGAAACACAAACACGTCAGAAATGTTAAAATACTCTTTTAAGCGTGTTAGTTAAATGTTAAAATCTCGAAAATGTCAAAATTCGGAAAATACGAAAGGTGTCACAAACACTAACCTGTTAAAAATGTGAGCAATTTCAAAGGTCTCAAAAACATACAGAATATCAAAAACGTTTAAATTTCAAACATGTCAAAATTTTCAAGGAGGTCAGAATTCCAGGAATGTCAAAAATGTCAGATATGGGAAATAAAGTCTCATATACAAATACGTTAAAAATGTCAAAAATAGAGTTTTAAATGTGGAAGTGAAATGTCAAAACCTCGAATGTGAAAATTTGGAAAACACAGAATGTGTTAGAAACATTCACTGTCAAAAGCGTATAAATTTCAAATATTGAAATTTTCAAGGATGTCAAGAATTTCAGGAATGTCAAAAATATCAAATTTGTGGAAATGTAAAAAAATGTCAAACATAAACACGTTAGAAATGCACAGTTTTAAGCGTGTTAGTTAAATGTCAAAACCTCGAAAATGTCCAAATTTTTAAAATACGAAAGGTGTGAGAAACATTCAATCTGTCAAACACGTGAGCAATTTCAAAGGGGCCAAAAATATACAGAATATCGAAAACGTTTAAATTTCAAACATGTCAAAATTTTCAAGGACGTCAAAATTTCAGGAATGTCAAAAATATTAGATATGGGAAATATCCAAAATGTGAGATACAAATACGTTAAAAATGTCAAAAATACAGTTTTAAATGTGTGAGTAAAATGTGAAAACCTCGAATATCTGAAAATTTGGAAAATACAGAATGTGTCAGAAACATTATGTACCAAAAATGTATGAATTTCAAACATATCGATATTTTCAAGGAAGTCAAGAATTCCAGGAATGTCGAAAATATCAAATTTGCGGAAATGTAAAAAATGTTAAACACAAACACGTCAGAAATGTCAAAATACACTTTTAAGCGTGTTAGTTAAATGTCAGAATCTCGAAAATGTCAAAATTTGGAAAATACGAAAGGTGTCAGAAACACTAATCTGTCAAAAATGTGAGCAATTTCAAGAGGACCAAAAACATATCGAATATTAGTAACATTTAAATTTCAAACGTGTCAAAATTTTCAAAGATGTTAAGAATTCTACAAATGTCAAAAATATCAAATGTGTGACAATTTAAAAAGTGCCAGATAAAATACGTTAAAAATGTCAAAAATACAGTTTTATGTGTGAAGTAAAACGTGAAACCCTCGAATATGTGAAAATTTGGAAGATACAAAACATTCTCTCTCAAAAACATTTAAATTTCAAACATGTCCAAATTTTCAAGGATGTCAAGAATTCCAGGAATGTCAAAAATATCAAATGTGTGGAAATGTAAAAAATGTCAGACACAAACACGTTACTAATGTCAAAAATACAGTTGTAAGTGTGTTAGTGAAATGTCAAATTCTTAAAAACTGATAAACGCAAAATGTGTCAAAAACATTAATAAATCAACCAAAAACGTACGCAATTTCAAAGGTTTCAAAAACTTGTAAAATATCAAAGACCTACAATTAAGCGTATGATGAATAAAAAAAAATCATCAGAATTGAGACAGGGCGGGTGGGCGGGGTTTATATTTTGCCTCTTTTTTTAAATATACATGGCCATCTTTTCACAACAAGAAACTTAACACATGGTTGAAATGGTAGATTTTTGCAAGAAAACATGGGGCGGAGCTTAATTGCAAAATCGATATTTCCTTATATACAGTTTTGGAAATTTCATTCTACCCTATAAAATTTTATTGACAACGAGGTGGACAGTAGTACAATGGTAAGAAATATTTATGGCTCACACTAGTTCACCCGAATTTATCGAAGAGCATTTAGCAGGTAGTTGTACTCATAAAATAATGCTGTCTGGACCTGGATTATTCTTTTTTCTAACACCTGGGGATTAGCTGCACGCGACAACTTCAAGTTGTAAATATCTCTTGCTATTGTACTACTGTCCGTCTCGTTATTGCCAATAAAATTTTATAGGGTAGAACGAAATTTCCAAAACTATACAAATTTTTTATGTTTTAAGTTTCATGTTGTGAAAAGAAGTCTACACACAGTAAAACAAAAAGGCAAAATATAAGCCCACCCACCCGCCCCATTTCAATTGTGATGATTTTTTTTGTTCGCCGTGAACCAAGAGGGGAGAGCTTAACTGCAAAATACTTATTTCTTTACAAAAAATTAAAAACATGTTTTTGAGAGTTGTGTTGTTCAAATATGCTATGTGTATTAAGAAAAATGGCAAAATATAAATACAATCCCTTTAAATGCGGCAACGTTAGCGGGAAAAGCAAGTTTATAAATCCCACTTTTATCAGATTTCCAACCTTACATTAAAAACAACTTAACCTAATATGATGAATTTCCTTTCACAAATTACTACAATTACATGGTGTCTAAAAACATCCTGAACGGTATAGGTCTGAGTATATAGCTTATATACATATAACATAATGTTCAAATCTCCTGAAACTTGAGATGCAAATGACACAAATGACAAACACAGAATTACCAACAGATGATCAGAAAAAGGTAAGTGTGCTATGATTTCGAGTAGCGCAGCCAGCTGTCATTTCGACTTCCCCAGTTAAACGTTTTCCGTCACCGCAAAATTATTATTAACAATAATAAACAATAAAGTAAACACCATCCGTCCAGTAAGTAAATCCGGTCATTGGCTAAAATTAGCATCTTCAATCCGTAAATAATGAGGCCATCGCTAAAAAACAAACTTCAAAGCGCTCGAACATCACCCACTATGCCCAAAGCCGTGTTTTCTTGGCTCGCCGCACCACGTGTCCGTGCGTCACGCCGCCCCCCCGTCTTCCTCGTCCGCGTGCGGCCCCCTTTAGCCGAAGATCCCCGAGAGGAAATTCCGTCGGCGGCGCAGTTTCGGGGCGATCCCGTGCAGAATTCTCCGAATCGAATAAACGCGCTGGCTATATTTAGACAATGATAGTCCGGGGCGGGGGGCGGCGATAACTCCATCAAAAACCATCTGTCATCGTCGCGTACGTAAATAATCGTTCGTTATCGGCAGTGCCTCGCTGCCCATTTCCGAGCACCGCACGCACTCTCCGCTCTCCAGTCGTGGTCGGGAGGCGGCGCTCGTCGGCGGCGAACTGCGCACCTCGCACATTAGACTTTGTCCGGATCGCGTGTTCGCGCAAAATGCGAGTGAGACCCGTAGAAAGAGAAAGCATGACGCGGAACGGCGAGGTGAATCCGAGCCCAGAGAGAGACAGCCGCGAACAGGTTTGAAAGTCGGCTGCGAGAGAGCGCGAGCGAGACGCCGCGAGGATTAGTCACGAGCGAGAGAGACGCAGCTAGTAAACATGGCGCCGCACTAGCCACCATATCATATTAGTGTGTATTGTGCACGCAGTATCTAGTTATCGGGTGTGCGAATCTGTCAGTGCGGAGTGCTATGCAGTAGTGCCAACTTCGGAGACGTCGGCAGCCCCCACGAGTGCCAACCGCCATGTGAGCGTCGCCCCGGACAGGGTGAGTGGGGCTGCGCCCCAGCCTGGCGCCGCCGTGACTGCGGCCTGGCGTCATACGCTGTCTGTCGAGCGGCGCCCGCCCGCCCCCCGCCGCCGACAATTAAATGCCACGGCGTGCTGGGTGCAATTAGACACGTTTCGGCCAGACGTGCGGGTCAAGGACGCGGGGGGGGGGCGTGTTTTGCGCTTTTATTTGGGTGGTTTTTTGCGGGGTGACGACAGGTGCGAGGGGGGCGAGGGGGCAGTTCCGGGAATTTCGCTCATTTTTACACACTACAATTACATAATGGGGCCGTGGCGTCATGAGACATTCGCAGGTGACGTAATTGACTGTTGCGCCGGAGGATAACAGCCTGTCGCTGATAGTGTTGTCGCAGCGAATTTGATAATATGATAATCGACTTGGAAGATTCGCTTCCGGACTCATCTCCATAGGCGGTGCATACCCTACATCACCAGTCTTCCTTTATTCGTTCTCCAATCAGTTCAACCTTCCATCGTCTTCGTTTCATTTATGTTTATGGATTCGCTTTGATTGACAATATGGCGCCAACTTAGATTGTTATTGTCGGTTAATGACAAACCACCTGTTTGACGTTTATTGACTTTTCCGGTCGTGGACAACCAACAACAACGACTGTTTTTTCAAAATACGTAGTGAAAATCGTTTCAGTGTAATTATAGTACGTATTGTTAGTCAGGTGAATGGAATTCGAAGTATCTGTAGGTCTGCTTTGATGGTTGAATGTTTCCTGAAACTAAAACCTAGAATTTTTCCATTTTTACCAATAACAGAAAAAAATGTGACCGCAGAAACCACTGAAAATGGATTTCGTGTCAATATTAGATGGCTACAAGCACTGCGGTGTCATATACTATACTAAACGAGTCATTTAACTACTTTGTGTTGCTGGATTTCCTAAAATCCCATTGAGTCATCAAAAATTAATAATACGCTGGTGGAATTCTGCACGTTTTTTTAATTCTGTGGGTTGTGTGACGGACTTGACGTTTATAATTATATGAAAACGCAGCTCGCGGCGCTCGTTTCTGACGTAGTCGCGAGCTGCGGTCGCTACCGACGGTGTTTACCCTTTGTTCGTGTTTGTAGGACACTGTTTATATTTAGTTCCCGAGTGTGACCTAATTTGACGTTTTAAAATCGTTAGAGTGAGAAAAAGTAGTTCCCCCGTTTCTTATTTTTCTTGTTGCAGTTTCACAAGTTTTTTCGATTGTTGAAATTTTCATGTTCTTCAATTCTTCAATCAGTGTTTCTATGTTCTGATTCTATAATTTTTTTTTTCTCACTTGGATTTTAGAATTTTTCCATTTTTCATTTGCAATTTTTCTAATTTTCCTTTAATAATGTAATAATAATTGTAATTTTTAAAATTTTTCGTTTTTTCAGTTTTACAAGTTTAGAACTTTTCCAATTTTACATCCCGAGCGTAAGCGATTCATATTTGTTGGATTTGCTTATACAGGGTGACTCAAAAATTGAATGAATGCGTGGATTTATTTTATTGATTTAATCAGAAACTGGAAAACCTAATGCTTTGAAATCTTGGAAATGTTTTCAAGTTATCATAAGCATAGTAAATTTTTGATCAAAATGTATGTGTTCATCCTCCCTAAAATATTGATGACGTCACCTCAAAATATTGCTAAATAAATCCTATCTTAAATGAGCAAAATATGATGATTCTATATGTACATACTTGTGATTTATCGCTACATTAGTATCTGTTAGATTTGCTTATACGGAGTGTCAAAAAAATTAATGACTGAGCCAATATATTATATTGATTAGATCAAAAATAATTGCAAAACTGAATACTTTGAAATCTTGCATATGTTTTAAAGTTATTGTAAGCATGTAACCAAATATATCTGTTTATTCCGCACAAGAAATTGATGACGTACTCTCAAAATTTTGCCGCATAAATTCTGCTCAAAATGTGCAAAATATGATGAGTTTTTACTTGTGATTTATCATGTCATTTGCTAAAATTAGTCTAGTCTTAGCAAGGACTAGTCCCGCCCACCCGCCCTCAATTTTCCTAGCCGATATAGCATTTGCCAAAATCAGTTTTATCTCGACAAGTACTAGCCCCGCCCACCGACCCGCTATTTTCTCAGAAGATTGTGATTTGCCAAAATCAGTTTTATCTTAGTAAAGACTAGCCCCGCCCACCCACCCGATATTTTCTCAGAGGATATGTCATTTGCCAAAGTTTGTTTTATCTTACCAAGTATTAGCCCCGCCCACCCGCCCCCTATTTTCTCAGAGGATATGTCATTTGCCAAAATAAGTTTTACCTTTGAAAATACTAACCCCGCCCACCCGCCCACTATTTCTCACAGGGTATGGCGTTTGCCAAAATCAGTCTTACCTTAGCAAGTACTAGCCCCTCCCGCCCGCCCCTATTTTCTCAGAGGATATGTCATTTGCCAAAATAAGACTTATCTTAGCAAGTACTAGGAAATACTATCCTCTGAGAAAAAAAAGGCAAGTGGGCGGAGCTAGTATTGCTAACATAAGTCTTATATACTATCCTCTGGTGGGGCTAATACTTGGTAAGATAAAACTGGTTTTGGCAAATGATATAATCCTCTGAGAAAATAGCGGGCGGGTGGGCGGGGCTACTATTTTCAAAGGTAAAACTTATTTCAACAAATGACATATTCTCTGAAAAAATAGGGGGCGGGTGGGCGGGGCTACTATTTTCAAAGGTAAAACTTATTTCAACAAATGACATATTCTCTGAAAAAATAGGGGGCGGGTGGGCGGGGCTAGTACTTGCTAGGATAAGCTTTGCCTCTATTAATCTTGTGAAATCTTGTTAAATTTCAAAGGTGTTAAGTTGCAAATTTCCATAGTAACGAGTTAAATTCCTAAATCTGGTGGGTGTTTATTTTTTGTTCATTCTACTTGAGGAGCGAGGGAAGTTCTGTTGAAACAACTTTCGACCAATTTTTCAATTATTATTGGATCATCATTTATTCGATTTTTCAATTTTTCGATGTTTCAGTGTTTCAGTTTTTCGACTTCACAATTTTGGGGATTCTATAAATTTTACAATTTTTGGGTTTCCCAATTTTTCGATTCGATTTTTTCCTCTTGGCAATTTTTGTCGATTTTTAAGTTTCTCGATTTTTAATTTTTTAATGTTTGAATCTTTCCTTTCTTCAGTGTTTCGATTTGCAATTTTTCTAATTTCCATTTTTTGACTTTACAATATTTCGATTTTTGAGTTTTCTGATTTAAATTTTTTTTTTTATTTTTTAGTTTTCGATTTTTCAGTTTCTCGATTTGTCAATTTTTCATTTCGATTTTATAAATATCCCATTTTTAATTAGTCGATGTTTAATTTCGACTTTGCAATTTTGACGATTCTATAATTTTCGGGTTTTCGAAGTTTTCGATTCGACTCGTTTTTTCTTCTTTCCAATTTTTTCAGTACATTAATTTTTGTCGATTTTAAGTTTCTCGGTTTTTAGTTTTTTAGTTTTTCAATCTTTCGTTTCTTCAGTGCTTTGATTTGCAATTTTTCGATTTTCCAGTTTTTGGATTTTGAATTTTTCGGTTTTTCAATTTTTTTGTATTTTTTCGTTTTCGATTTTTTAGTTTCTCGATTTTTCAATTGTTCATTTGGATTTTAAATTTTTTAAATTTCGCAATTTGTCGATGTTTAATTTCGACTTTACAATTTTGACGATTCTAAAATTTTCGTGTTTTCCAAGTTTTCAATTCGACTCGTTTTTTTTGATTTATTAATTTTTGGCGATTTGAAGTTTCTCCATTTTTAATTTTCAATCTTTAAATTTTTCGTTTCTTTAGTGCTTCGATTTTCCACTTTTTCGATTTACAGTTTCCCGATTTTTCAATTTTTCGTTTCTTTAATTTTTGAGTTGCAATTTTCGTAGTTTTCATTTATGTATGTAGTAATAATTACAGTTTTTCTGCTTTACAATTTTTGCAATTCTAGAAATTTTACAATTTTTGGGTTTCCCAATTTTTCGATTTGATTCATTTTTTCTTCTTGCCAATTTTTTCGATTCACTATTTTTTGTCGATTTTTAAGTTTTTCAGTTTTTAGTTGTCTCAATGTTTGAATGTTTCCTTTCTGCAGTGTTTCGATTTGCAATTTTTCAAATTTCCACTTTTTTGATTTTACAATTTTTCGGTTTTTGAATTTTTTGATTTTTCTTTTTTTTTGATTTTTAGTTTTCGATCTTTCATTTTCTCAATTTTTCAATTTCTCACTTGATTTTAGAATTTTTCCATTTTTCAACTATTGGATTCTAAAACTTCATTTATTTGATTTTTAATTTTTCAATTTGTCGATGTTTAATTTCGACTTTATAATTTTGACTATTCTATAATTTTCGGGTTTTCCAAGTTTTCAATTCGACTCGTTTTTTCTTCTTTCCAATTTTTCCGATTCATTAATTTTTGGCGATTTGAAGTTTCTGGGTTTTTAGTTCTTTGGAACAGGGACACTTTCCGACAGGTCTCAAAAAAGCTTTGGTAAAACCTCTATTTAAAAAAGGTGATTGTAAATCGGTTGAAAACTATAGACCTATCAGTCTATTATCAAGTATCTCAAAAATATTTGAAAATATAGTAAATAAATATTTAATTGACTTTTTAATGAAACATAAAATATTAGACAAAGCACAGCACGGCTTCACCAAAGGTCGTGGTTTGGATAGTGCCCTCGCTGATTATCTAGCCAACGTTTATTGTCATGTTGATAAAAAAATAACTTAGGACTTTTTATTGATTTTACCAAGGCCTTTGATTGCGTCCACCACTCAATTTTATTACAAAAATTACAACGTTATGGTATTAGAGGTAAAGCATATGAGTGGGTTGCATCTTACCTTAACAACAGAACACAAAAAGTAATAGTAAATGGCACATCTTCTGAAGCTACATCCATTGATATCGGGGTTCCGCAAGGGTCCATTTTGGGCCCGACTTTATTTATCATCTAT